TCATCCTTTTTGTTCCCCTTTCTGTGCCAATGTTGGCAGTGGGAACAAGGACATGAACCTTGGGGGTCAGCCGGTGAGTGGCTGGGTGGCCCCTGGGCCATGTCCCTGCTCCCTGGGTTTGACTTTGGCCCCACTCCAGCCTTCCCTGATTCCCAAAGGGTTGAGAGGGTTGCCTGGGGTGACTGAGAGGGGTAATCTGCCAACATCAACATAAAGAGCTTACAAGGGACAGTTCCATAAAAAGCTTATTGAAACAAATCCCAAGTTGATGGAAAGCTTGCTTTTATGTAGGGGGAAAGGACTGCCTCAGTTTCTCCCCAACACAGTGTACAGAATATTTGTTAAAATAAATGGTCCCGGCCTCCCCAGTGGCGCAGCGGTTGAGCGCTGGGTTGCAAAGCTGCCCGCTGCCTCTGCAGTGCCGGTTTGACCCCCAGCTGCTCCCCGGCCACCAGAGGAGGGTCCCACATGGCCTGCAGACCTCTCCTGCTGCCCGCTGCTCCCCTCAGCAGTGTACTTCGGTCCTTCTGCCTGCTCTGCTCCCCGCTCTGGCTCTGGTGAATTCGCTCACCCTCCCGTGCTTCTGACTGTACCCAGTGCTTGTATAAATAAATGAATAAATTAAAAAAAAATACTGTTAAAAAAATTAAAAAATAAAATAAAATAAATGGTCCCTCTGAGTTCTGTTTCATGTGCAAGTCACAGCTTCAAGGTGTGGATTGGGAGGACAATGACTCTGCATCTTCCTCTAATGATATGATGAGCTCTAAAATAAGAACCGTTTGGTGGTTGTGTTACAGGGCAGGGAGAGGAACATCCCAGAATACCCAAACCTGCCTGCCCTAAATGGGTTCTGCCATCCACCACATCAAGACAAAACATATCAGACTTTAATAGAAAGGAACTTTAATACAGTTAGTGTGCAATACAGAAAAGACAGAGACTATAGTTTCCAAATCAAGCACCCAAAGTTACCCACCCGCTCGTGGTAAAAGTCCACCTAAAAGGGATTGGCCCACAGCGAGGCCTGAAAGCCTGCCATAAGTCTGAAGCACCTTTCATCAGGAACCCATAGAAAAGGGTCAGAAATAGTTAGACATAGTTAGGAAATAGTTTCCTCTGGGAGGAAAAGAGCAAAATAAAAATCAAGATAAAAGCTGCCACTGTTAACTCCCCACAGGTCTCTCACCCACCTCTGTTTTAACCAGCCCAGGATCAATCCTTTTAATTAACTTTTTTGTGTGTGCCTGCCGTTGAATCTTATTGTAAGTCCCTTTTAAACACACAGGTGAGGACCCCCAATCAGGCAACCCATTTCATATCGGGGTTGCCCTATAAAAGTTGGAGCTGGAAAATTTTACCAGCAAGTGAGGACTGAGGTAGTGGATCTGGCTAGGCCTGCAGTCTCAATATCTTTTCTTCACTAACCATGCTTTTCACACCAAAATAATAAATGCTCTTATTGAGGATGTATGTTCTGGCCTATGTGACAGGGCTATTCTCCACTCATTATTCTAAACACTGTATTTCAAATTACTATTTTAGTTTTCTTGTATTATTTTCACTTTCTTCTAGTTCCTTTTCACCTCCATTTGCACCAGAATTTGTTTTTTTTAATCTTTCTTTGATTTCTTGTTTCATAAGGGTCAAATTTTGTTATATTCGCACTGAAAACAAAAAGCAGATATTTTCTAGAATGTTCTGTCCATTGCTCTAGTAAATTATTTTCAAAGTTGGGATTTTTCTCCATATCTGAATAATATGTGTGTGTATTTTGGGTGTTTGGTTTGATGGGTGTGTGTGTGTGTGTGTGTGTGTGTGTGTGAGTTTGTGTATATCTACACATTCTTGGAGGGGCCTATTTATATCCCAACATGACATTTGTAACTAGTCATTCACTTGTTCAACAGATTCTAACTTTTCAAAATTGATATTTGTTTAACCTATGGTGGGTAAGCTATTTAAAAAACTGAATTACATATAAAAATTCATCTTCAAGGAGACTTTTATCTACTAGAGGAGGTAAATAGCTGTAACAACAGTAGTACAAGAGAGAAAGCCAAACAGGTGATAAGGGTAGGTTTGATTTCCACCTATGAGTTTGTCATAGCTGATACAAGGGAAAAGAAAACCACAATGCTGAGACAGGAAGGACCAATTCTGTGCTGGTGTTGGTCCAAATTGGCAGCCCTGGGAAGTTACGAGAACTCAGGCTTCTTCAAATTTATATTACCTTTTTCTTTCTCTGTATATATGTAAAAAACTAGCAACTACTAATTCGCCAGTGTTCTATGATGCTGGAAATTAGTGAGTGCAATAAATTTTACATTCTTTAATATTATTGCTTTAAAATATCTACATTCCATTATTAATTATTGTTGTCACTCAGTCATTTCAAAGAAGCAACAATAATATTAATAAATGTCAGTGGGAAAATAAATGAGATATTTTCTTTGGGTTGAAAAACTCCCCCAAATGTTTTATTTTCCAGTGACAAAAACATCCTTATTTTTCAACAGCATAGATGTGTTCATCAAGTGACTTTTCTTTTGGTGAATGATTGTTTCTTTTTTGTGAGACGGCAATTTAACAAAACATTGTCATAAGGAACTAATAATTGAATTTTTTCACAGTCATCAAATGTTTTTTAAGTTTAACTTTTTCAAAAGAGATAAAAACATTAATTAAATTTTGACATGAAATAACCCAGGGCATGACATATAATAGTTTTAAGTTTATCTAATTATGATTAAAATAGGAAAGTGTAATTTCCAAACCCCTAGAGGGTGTGTCCACCACAGGTCCCTACCGGGATGTAACTGTAACAGAGGCTAAGAGCCGCTAGGTGGCGGTGTCATTTTTAAATAAAATGAAAATCCGCAAGATATCGTATAGTTAAGGAAGGAATTATCTATAGTAGGCCGAATCTTTAATCAAAGAAACAACATGCAAACATGGACTCTCACTCAGAATAATCTGGAGCTTATTGATATAAGAATTAGATTAAAAAAAAACCTGCAAAACTGCAAAGTACTTATGGGTGAGCAATGTGCTAAAAATTAAGGGAAAGTATTTTATTTTTGAGAACATCAATAATAATTGGGACATGACTTCCAATTTTTATAATTTGTGTCACCTATGTTCCCAATTTTTCTTTTGGACTTGCTCCTTTTAATTTAGATTTTTAAGAAAATGCTTAAGAAAAACATTAAATTTAAACACAATTTATTAAAAATCATTTTCAACTTTGAGTTATAGTTATACTTATTAACACTTAAAAAGAAATAACAACACAAAACAACTTCATTTGGGGCCATTTGGAAAGGGGGGGAGGAAGCAGCTTGCTTATCTAAATTAAGAAAACATTTAGAACCTTAAATCAAAAAAAGCAAACGCTATTCCGTTCTATAGCATCTACCTCGCGATGGAACGAAATAATGCGCTTTAGAGTCGACAATAATTCTTTCATGGTTTCTGAAAAGACGAATCACAGTTACTTTTGAAGTGTGATTTGCATTTAAGTTACCAAAATTTGCGAGTTAAATATCTCTTGGTTTCTTTTCTTTTTTTTTTTCTTTTCTTCCAAATTTGATTCTTTTATTTTTTAAAGATGTGAGATAACAGAAGACAACCTTCCTCAAAATATGTAACTACCTTTATCATGTAAATGCGGGTGGGTGGTTTAATTTTCCGAATTTTAAAACACCGTGAACTGACATCACTTCTTTCACCTCCCGGCCTCACGCCCTCCCCCCTACACCACCTTCCCCCGCTTTAAAATGCGGACATCAGACCTGTCCCTCATGCAGAACATATTTAGTATACTTTTGTGAGAGAAGCAATGTCGCTGTTTGGAGCCAACAAATAACGAATGCGTGGCATGCGGGGTCGCCACACTATTTTTACTGGTTTTGCTTATTTTTCCAGGCAGCACACTCATTTGAAAACTTACAAAAGCAGCGGGCAAGTCACATACCGTAACGCACTAAGATCATTTAGTAAATGAGCGCTTCTCCCAGTTAAATTACGGTTGACTTTAAAATGCTAATTTCGAACCCACGTATTTAAATGCCTTTGAAAACGTTCACCCTCCCTTCGGGTTTGAGAAACAACAAATCTCAAGAAAAACTGCACCAACCGGACATGAAATGAACAGCACAGTATCCTTCTCGCCCTAACATTTCCAGAATGTGATCGAACACTTAGTAGTTCGCCAGCGACCCCTTAGAAAAATTCAAAACCGATTCAGCCCTTCCCATCACAGCACCGCCTAGAAGAAGGGGCCACGCCCGGGACGCCGCCGGTTATCATAATCTGCCAGAGACCCAGAGAAGTCGCCATCCCGCCTATTTTCACCTGAGAGTTTCAACTGATCAGCGGAGACGGACATGCACCTGCAATTCCATCACAAAAGGTGCAGCCGCTCCAGCTAGAAAAACCCAAGGGGGCCAGGCAGGTGGACTGGGCGGCTCCAAAAGTTAACTTGGGAGTGTTCAGCGCACATCTGTATTGTTCGGTTTTCTTTCTCTTGACGGTGCTTTTATTCCCTGATTCCCTTAAGCACACGCCGGCCGCGGACTGGGGGTGCTTCCCGCCTTAGCCCCGCAGGCGCCGGCCTCCCGGGGGCTCCCCCGGCCGCGCGCGGAGGGGTGCCTGGGCGGGGCGCCGCGGGCCCGGCGGGCGGCGCGAGGGTTTCGGCGCGCTCGGCGGGGATGCGCGGGCAGGTGGGGCGTGGCGGGGGCGTGGAGAGCCCCGGCCCGCGGGCCGCCGCCCAGCCCCGGGCCGGGCCGGGAGGAGCCGCGCCGCCGACGGTATAAGAGGCCGCGCAGCCGTCGCTTGGCGCGCACCCGCCGACCCCCCGGCCGAGCACCGATCGCCCAGCTCGGGCCGAGTTGGGGCCAAAGCGTTGGCCCCCCAAGGGGATGCTCTCGCCCGAGCGGCGAGGCCAGCCCCGCTCTCCCCTCGCCGCGGCCGCGCCGCACCCGCCGACGGCCCCCGACATGGCTCTTTACTGCGGCGACAACTTCGGCGTGTACTCGCAGCCCGGCCTGCCGCCCCCCAACGCCGCCGCCGCCCCGGGGCCCCCCCGGCGGCCAGGGCGCCCTACGGGCTGGCGGACTACGCCGCGCCGCCGGCCGCCGCCGCCAACCCCTACCTGTGGCTCAACGGGCCGGGCGTGGGCGGGCCGCCCGCGGCCACCGCCGCCGCGTACCTGAGCGCCCCGCCGCCGCCGCCCCCCGGGGGCGCGGCCGGGCCCTTCCTGCAGCCGCCCAGCGCGGCTGGCACCTTCGCCTGCGCGCAGCGGCCCTTCGCGCAGTCCGCGCCCGGCACGCCCGCCTCGCCCGCCGGGCCCGCCGCCCCGGGTGAATTGGGCTGGCTGTCCATGGCCAGCCGCGAGGACCTGATGAAGATGGTGCGGCCGCCCTACTCGTACTCGGCGCTCATCGCCATGGCCATCCAGAGTGCGCCCGAGCGCAAGCTCACGCTCAGCCACATCTACCAGTTCGTGGCCGACAGCTTCCCGTTCTACCAGCGCAGCAAGGCCGGCTGGCAGAACTCTATCCGCCACAACCTGTCGCTCAACGACTGCTTCAAGAAAGTGCCCCGTGACGAGGATGACCCAGGTGAGGACCGCCGGGCAGGTGCCTCCCTCCCGGGCGGCTGCGGGGCGTGGGTGGGAGGGGGTCAGTGTGTGGCTGGCTTGAAGGTGCGCGTGGAATCGCCTCGTTCTAACTGGGAATGGGAGCTGGTGGAGGAACCGTGACCCAAATCTCATCTGATTAGGGTGAGGGGAAACGCAGAGGACAAAGAGGAGTATCAGGAACTTCGAAGGAGGACAGGGTGTTCAGCAGGTCTTTGAAGAAGAGGGTCATGTTATAAGGAGGTAGATTAGGAATGAGAACCCAGTGAGCTCTCAAGTGGATGTATTGGAAGTATTCAGAACAGCTGAAAATCCGAAAAAGGCGGTGAGGGAGAGAGAGGAAAGGCCAGCTATTCGTGCTGCCCGTGGGCGCACTTCCTTCTGCATCAGGTTAGTAAGAATCCCGTGCCCCTGAAAGAAGTACTGTGCCTGCTTGGAGAGATGATTTGAGGGTAGCGCACAGGCATCAAGAGATGGGCAGAGGGTTGGGAGAACTTCTGCTGGGTGCTGCAAAGTTCTTTGTAACTTGTTAGAAATGTAAAAGTGAAACCCCCAAAATTGCTTTCGTAAGGTATGGGGTAAGGAGGGTTGGGTTACAATGGATTGTAAGGTGGTGGTTTCTCTATTACTTGAGAAGTGGAGACAGAAAAAAGCTCAAACACAAGACAGAAACTTGGAGGTTTCAGAAGCAGCCTGGGAAGTGGAGGCAGAACTGGATGGGAAAAAAAGAGAAAAGAAATAAAGCCATTTTATTTAGTTTCAGAGATGCAGAATTTTGTGTAAATTATGGTAATATTTTGGAATGCAGAATGAACAGGTACCCGAAGTCATTCTAGGGCAGTGCTTTTCACTAAAATACAGCACAAACCACTTGTGATTGTAAATTTTGTAGTAGCCAATGAAAAGGAAAAAAGTATAAAACGAAACTGGCAAAAATTATTTTAAGTATCTTTGGAGAAACCCAATATTGTTTCAACCTATAATATATATGAAAGCAATTACTGAGATATTTGCCATTATCCTTTCGCTACTAAATCTTTAAAATCCTCTCTTTCTATCCCATGTCTCAGTTTGGACTAGCCACATTCAAGTTGCAACAGCCGTATCATGCATGGTTCCTGATCGTTTTGGACAGAGCATACAGTTCTAGAACATGCATCAACCTGATTTAACTTCTCAGTCACCCAAGGATCACTTATAATTTGTCATGTATATTCCTCAGGACTTGGTCAAACGTTCAAGGACATATTATTGCCAGTGTCATATCAAAACACTTAGTACCAAGGTAGCCCAATATGACTATCCTATAGCTGCAGGTATTTTTATTTAAATGGTAGTTACATGAACACATTTTCCCCCTCCTGCGTCTATTTGCAGAAAACATGACAGGGGAAAATGGGTGAAGGAGGTGTACGTTCGAGTTTGTAGAGCCAGCGTAACCCAGTGAGTAGTTACTTAAGAATTGTGAGTCTAGGGGCCTCCCTGGTGGCGCAAGGGGTTGGGACGCAAGCTATGAAGCTCTCTGCAGCCTCTGCAGTACGAGTTTAATCCCAGCCTACCAGGGAGCTTCCCACATGGCGCAGCAGACCTCTCCTGGCTTGCCCACTGATCCCCTCAGCAGTGTATTTTGGTCCATCTGCCTGTTCTGTTCCCCACTCTGTCTCTGGTGACTCCTCTCACCCACCCCCCCCACACACACCTCTGGCCTGTACCCCAGCTTTTGTATGCATAAATAAATAAATCTTAAAAAAAAAAAAAGAATTCTGAGTCTAGAGCCAGTTGCTTCAGTCCTGGCTCTGCCATTGCTAACTGGAACTGTGGCTGGTTACTAGCCAGTATGCAGCTCCGTTTCTCCATCTGAAAAATGGAAGCAGTAATACTGCCTGTCTCTAGAAAGCTGTGAGGAGTAACTGAGGTTATCCATGTAAAAGCTCATTATACTGTAAGTTCTTAACAGTACTTTCAGATACCACAGTTTGTTTTCAGAAGTGAAAAAAGCTGTTGGGAGATAAGATCTCCAAGATGATAGATCTTTTCTACTTCAATTATGGTAGAGAGTGAGGGAAATTTTCTGAGTAGACACTAGCATTGCAGGCTTTAAATGATCTGTGAGATTTGCCCAGTGGAGGTAAAGCTTGGAAGAAATGCAGAGGCTCCATCAGCCCAAGATGAGGAGGGAATATAAGTAGATTCCAGAAACTAGCTTGTACTTCAAATATATGCCATCCAAGGTATTGTTAAAATAATCAGTTGCTCAGTAAAAGTTATTGTCATTGTTCAGCAAGGAGGAATAGGTATTTAAAGTTGCCTTTTCTGTGGAGTACTTTTTTTTTTTAAGGGGGCTGAGATTTGTATTCTTTTAGTGAAAATAATTATGCCATGCTGTTTTTCTACTGCCTGCCTGTGTGCCAGCTACTATACAGAGATATCATTTAGCCCTCACAGCCAGCCTATGATATAGGTGCCATTTTTATACCTATCTTGATAAGTGAAGAAATGGAGGCTCAGGTTGAAGTAGCATCAGAATTTTATGGTTTCAAAAGGCTGCACACTTTGGATCTAGAAGAGGACTAGGATTTGGTTTTAAGATTCAAGTAGTAGACATTGCTAGGAGAAGGTGAAGTTGTCAGACATGTTCATTCCAGATTTTCCCTTGAAGATGAAGAATAAAACCTCCCAAAAAGATATATTTAGACAGGAGAGTAAACTGAACATCTTTGTCAGCATTTAACAAGAATCTGCTCTCCTAAATATATGGCTTAGTGAACACATGAAGCTGAAGGCATGGACATAACTAGATCTTTCTCTAACTCACCTTTCTCATTTTCATAGGGAAAGGCAATTACTGGACCCTGGATCCCAACTGTGAGAAAATGTTTGACAATGGGAACTTCCGTCGGAAGCGAAAGCGTCGCTCTGAGACCAGCAGCAGCTCTGCTGTGACCACGGGGACATCAAAATCAGAAGAAGGATTGGGGTCTGGAGTGGGTGGGAAGCCAGAAGGAGACAGCCCCTCTTTGCTGAGGCCATCCCAATCCCCAGAGCCTCCCGAGGGCACCAAGAGTACTGCCTCCTCCCCTGGAGGGTCCATGCTCAGCTCTACCCCATGCCTCAACACCTTCTTCAGTACCCTCAGCACCTTAAGCGTCAGCAGCAGTGGGAGCACCCAGCGCGCACTCCCTGGGAGCCGCCACCTAGGGCTCCAGGGGGCCCAGCTGCCCCCTAGCAGCACGTTCTCCCCCAGCTCCATCTCGGAGGCCTCGCCAGACACATTGCAGCTGAGTACCAGCAGCAGCAGCACCAGCGGCAGCCAGAGATCTTCCTATTATAACCCTTTTCCTGCCAGCAACAGTGGGGGGCAAGGCGGCCACTTCAGCAGCCCTTTCTACAACTTCAGCATGGTCAACAGTCTCATCTACCCCCGGGAAGGCTCCGAGGTATAGGGTGCTGCTTCTTAGACTTGAATATGCACACCTGAGATTTTGTAGAATGCAGATTCCAAGGCAGTAGGTCTGGGGTAGGAACTGAGGTTCCCCATTTCTCTGGAGCTTATGGGTGATCTCGTGGTCCACTGTGTAACGTGGGGTCCCATGGGCATGGTAGACAATTCTTTGTATAGCCCAGCAGGCTTTCATAGGTTTCTCTGGATCAGGGTCTTCCTGGAGAATCCACCTCACTTTCCTGGGATAGTACTTATGAGTCCTGTGAGGAGAGGGACCACGTCTGTTTTGTTCATGACTGTATCAGGGTTGCCAAGCTCAAACACATCCAGGGCCAGCTTAAAAAAAACCTCAGTGAATGAAGTTATTCGATAGGAAAAAGGTCAGTTGGCTATAGGTGATACTAACTGGCTAAGGCTGCTGTGGGCAGCTAATTAAGCTAGTGATATCCTGCCTGGCAGCTTTTGGATTTTTCTAGAAAGGTCAGATACCTCTACTTTTTTTTAATTGAGGTAACATTGGTTTATTACACTCAGATACCTTGATTTTTATAGGGATACTTCCATTTGTGTTCTTTGCCTCTAGAGTTTTAAAAATACTATACATCCATGCTCTGCATAACACTTTGGCCAATGATGGGCCATGTATATGATGGTGATTACCATTTCCTGTTGCCTGCTGGCATGGTAGCCTCATACATGTCTTGTTTACTTCATCTCTTGATATTATCCTCCCCAGCCCCCCCCCCACCTTTGTATTTCATTTACTCTTGTTGTTTTGTCCATTGTGGCCCCTAAGCAAGCAGTATCTACTGCTATTGTTAGGTTTGCACAGCAATGCATTTCTCAGAAGGTGTCCCCGTGGGTAGTGACACATGACTGCACTAGGAAACACAAGGTCCTCGAGCTGTATATATCCAGCTCACCATTCCCTTCTGCTTATGCCCAACATCACCTATATGGTGAATTCTAATGGCAGTAAAACTGCCCAGGCAAGCCCTGTGTGCCAGGTGCTGCTATAGACACTTGACATGTATTAACTTATTTAATCCTCTCCAAAACCTTGGGAGATATGTATCGCTATTCCTCATGTTTCATATGAGGACAGTGAAACTCCAAGATGTTAGGTAACTTGCCTGGGGCCACACAGAGAGTCATGGAGCCAGAATCACATCCAGTTGGTCTGGCTCCAGAGCCAGGAAGCTCTGTATTCTAGTTCCTGAAAAACAAAACAAAGGCACCAGCCTCAGTAGGCAGAAATGGAGCACGATCCCATGTGACCAAAGATCCTGGTTGAAATAAATACCACTTGAGACATTCCCCTGAATAGCAAAGAGGGACATCATCTCTGCCTTTCTTCTGCTGTCATATTCCTGAGGTTTGGGGGGACCATTGTCCCAGGTAGCCTGATGTCCTATCCCTTTTATCATGTGTCCTGGATTTTTCATTTTTAAAACAAAGTTATCAGAATTTAAAAATAGTTTTTAAATGGAAATTTTTTAAGTTTTTAAATAAACTGTCATCAAATTTAAAAATATTTTTAGCATTTCCACTTCTTACAGGTACAGCTCCTTTTGAATAATTTTTATGGTCACCCTTCCAGTGCCCTGCAGAACACCTGGTACATGACAGACTCAGCCACTGTTTCCTAAAGAAGTTACTCAAAAAACATTAAAATTTGGAGAGCTGTTGATTTGTTGGAACAGAGTTCCTTGAAGACAAAGAAAATATCCTATACAAATTGTACCATGTTGTTTTGATATGAGCATTGCTGGTTTGGGATATGAATTATTTTAGAAAAAGGAACACATAAGTACATTTGTAAACATTTTTAACTTTCCCTGTGTATTCTTTTTTTTTTTTTTGAGACTCTCACAGCGTTCCTATTAAAATTTTATTTCAAAATATACATACATAAAATTATTAATAGTTAATTGAGGTATAAAATATCACCATTACTTCTTAAATATGCAGGAAAACAACCAAAGAGACTACCTACCCGTCCCCCATATTGTGTATGCCAAAAAAAAAAAAAAAAAAAAACAATTTCTATGGATATTTTTCTATGTGAAAAATCATATGGACTTTTATATTGTTTCTAACACAATTCTGTGTTTGTAAATTAATTTATAATGTGAACTGGGAAAAACATTTTTTCCCCAAGAAAGCTTACTGCATGCTGAGAATCACATGAAATAAACTAAGTGGGATGACTTCTGGCTACTTTTAGGCATTGCTATTTTTATCTTTCGATTCCTCTAATGGAGAGAGGTGGCCTGGCACTGAAGCCACCACTCTGATTTAAGGGAGTGACTGATTGTTATTAGATTTGTTCCACCTGCCCGTATTTGAAAGGGCTGGAGTGAAACCATTGTTAGGAACAGAGTAACAGTACTGTTATTTAGATCAAACAACTTCAGTGTACCAGTGTGTTGCAGAATAAGACAGTGCTGTGAGGCCTTACCAGCTGGCTGCTCTCTGTGGAGAGCTGCAGCTTTGGCTGTTGTCCTCACTGGTGTCACAGACAGCCCATCATCTTCAAGGAAATTGCTTGCAAACTGCTGAACTTGACTTCATCTAGAAGATACCTAGAAGACAATCTAGATTGGAATGTCTCAGCATCGGCACTGTTGATATTTGTGGCTGGATAATTGGTTGTAGAGGTTGTCCTGTGCATCACAAGGTGTCTAACAGTATTTCTGGTCTCTACCCATTAGATGCCAGAACTGCCCCTATCCTACTCCCTAGTCGTGTGTAACAACCGATAGAATCTCCAGATATTGCCAAAAGGCCCCTGGAGGGTAAACTTAAGCTTGGTTGAGAACCGTGATCCAGATCAAAACCCACAATTTGCCAGTGAAAATAGCCCCCATACTCCCTCATACAAAGCCCTGGTGCTAGTAATTGAGCCATGAATGAATTAGGCTTTTGGGTTTCAGGTACAGGACAGTTTCTCCTAAAGAAAATCAGTTGTGAACGATCCAATTATTCAGGCATTACTCAGAGCTAAGATCTTCTGGTTTGCCTTGTCACATGGAAGAATAATTAAATGTGCTACTGGTTACAGATTTTTATGGTAGCTCCCCTTCTTGGTATCTAATTATTTCTGTTAATGACAAATAGGTTGGCAATAATTTTGACTAAACAAGCTATCCAGGTTATAGGGGAGTGGGGCAGGCATGAGGGTTTCTGGAAAAATTCTTTAAAAGAACATGATTAACCTGTATTTGGCAGTATCAGAATCTGGGTGATTGATATTAAGTGCTACAGCACTGGCATTTATGAGAACAAAGGTGAAGAGAAGAATCTACTCATCAGAACAGCAAAGGGCAGCATGATGGTTTAGTCCCCACTCCCAGGGTTGGGGAAACTGTTATTGGCAAGTGTCCATCAAGGAACTGACCTCTCTGGGTATAGGATTAAAGGGGAAGGGATGAAGTTGCTTGTGCTTGTGATGTTTTGAGGTCAAAGTTTGCACCAGCAATCCAATTGGCATCAATTTCCTGCATATGGGACATTTTCAGCCTGGAAACCAGGTCAGAAATTCTGAATCTGTGCTAGATTTAAGCATTCAGGATGGTGCTGAGCTAGGTAGATGATGGATCCAAGGCATGTACTTAGGCATCCTTCTTTCCCTGGAAACTAGAGACTGAGGTCAAATTGCAGCCCACACTGGGGCTAAAATGGGCACATGTCTAACTTTAAAGCAGCTGTCTTCTGGCCTTCTAGGACCTAGTGTACCTTCCAGAATAAGAAAAGGGCAAAAAACAATTTGTAAAACTAATCAAGTTTTTAGTATCCTTCTTTTAAAAAAAAATTATTTATGCATATAAGAGCAGGTGTAGGCCAGAGGTGCAGGTTGTGGGTGGTGAGAGGATTCACCCAAGACAGAATAGGGAGCAGAACAGGCAGATCTACTAAAATACACTGCTGAGGGGAGCAGCTGGCTAGAGAGGAGAGGTCTGCTGCGCCATGTTGGTAGCTCCCTGGCCAGCCAGGGATCGAATTAGTGCTGCAGTGGCTGTGGATAGCTTCATAGAGTTGAGACTTAACCCCTTTCACCACCAGGGAGGCCCTACTTTCCTTCTTGATACTTACAAATCAATTCTTGAGCTTACTGGAAGAAAGCAAGTAAGGAGCCTAGAGGCTTGGAAAACTATACCTTTGTACCCTTTCTCTCCCCTCCCCACCTCCACTGCCCCGCACCCCAGTCCTCAAGGGCACTCACAAGTCTCTCCCACAGCAAACTGGGTTAAGCTTTGGCCGCAGGACTTCACCTTGGCCCCTGGACTTCAGAGGAACCTCCAGAACTGCTTCCTTTCTCGAGAGAGGACTTGAAAGGAGCATGTGAGGTCCAACTGGTTTTTGTTTTCCTGAGCTCTCTAGTACTAAAATCCTGAAGTTGTGAATAAAAAATTAAAACAAACAAACAAACAAACAAAAACACTGGTGGTGTCTTAAGGCCAGGCTTTGCTGGGTTTTGAGGTAGAGACCTAGAGGCCAAAGTGGCCTGCTCTTTTGTCATGGAAAGCAGTCCTCTGGGGCACAAGGCTGGGTGACTGGTGCTGAAATAAGAAGGAATTTCCTGTCAGAGTGAAAACAAAAAAGGTCAAAAAAAAAAAACAGTTACCTAATGAATTCCTCTAGGCTTTTTTTTTTTTCCCCTTCCATTCATGTTCAGGGGATCATCCTGAACACCTGGGTGGCCTGGGGGGGATTCCTTTATTATCTTTAAAGAGGAAAATGTTATAATAATAATAATAATAATAATTCATTTATGGCACTGTCCTAAAATATATTCAATATAAAATAACTATATTAACCTTCCCAACAGTTCTCTGAAATAGGTAATATTGTATACTTTACCAATGTGAATGCTGAGGCCACAAGGAGTTTGTATAATTGGGTTATGTTAAAAAAAAATCTAAGAGTTTGCCTCTTACAGGTGGAATTTGGATTCCAAATCAGGCCATTTGATGCTAGAGCCCACCTGCACTAAACTGACTATACTCTCCATTTTGAAGAGAAAGGAGAGAAACTGAGAGGTTAAGTGAGTTGCCTAAGATCGCACAGTTTTGTTGGTTGCAGATTTGGGCCTGGCACTCAGGCTCCAGTCCCTCTGGCCCTCTTCAGGGATGTACCCTTCAGGCATTTCATTTGTATGCTCCCTGAATGGGCTTATCTGTCTGGGGCTCCTTCCTGTGGAAACAAGAAGGTAAGCAGTGGGAAGGGAAGTCACATTTCCTTGACATGGTCTCCTTTACAGGATCAGCCAGTAGCCAGGTGAGAGGCCCACATCTCGGGCTATGAAGCTGCAGAGAGAAGATAGGTGTTGATTTGGAACCTTGTGTTAGGGGGAAAAGGCAGTCCCAAAGCAAATTCCATACAGGCTTTGTGGACTCCACCCCCACCCCAGGTCAAAGCCAAAGACACTGGGAACTCCAAATCCCATCACCACCAAAGGGAAGGTGGCTGGGACCTGAGGGTGGGGTTAAGCAGCCAGGTGGATACAAAAGGCAGACACGTGGGCTTTGGGGGCGCTCTCCATTTTGGGGCCCTCGGCCAGCTTGCGGCGTCCGTCTAGCTCTGAGAGTGACTTTGGGGTTTCCAGGTCGTCGGATCGGGTAGGACGCATTAAAGACTTTATTTCCCTATTTTCTCCCTGAGTTGTACATTTTCCTTATTTCTTTTTCTCTTGTAAATAAACCTTTTATTAACCCTTTTGCG